ATATATATATGGGGCCGTCAATCGACAAGAGCTCCGAAAGTAGTTCCCAACTCAATAGAACTTGTGAAAGGAACTTGACTAGGTTATTTATGGAGTGTACTGTGTCGGTAAAAAGTGTACAAAAAAGATTGTATATAAATATAGATATAAATATTAAATATGTACATATGGGCCATTCCATGCCAAGTCGCACACTTTTGTACCCCGACCTCTCAGACTTTTTTCATTTTTTGCCTACTAGTAGCATCTGATATTAGATTTGGTAATTGAAAGGGTTTACCTCAAAAAAGTGGCGGCAATGTTAGACCGCTCTAAAGTGCACAATTCACCCTTGAGAAGGTCACCTTTAAAAACTCATATTTTTCTACATTCGCAACGAATTTTTCTTATTTTTACTTTTTTTGGAAGCGTGCCTCTGCAGATTCAGAAAAATGGTGAAAAAAGGTTTTTTCTTAAAAAACGATATTCTAAAGTTTTTAAAAAAGATATATTTTTTGAAAAAACAATCTTTGCGCAACTCATCAAGGTTGCCAGGTTGTATCCAAACTTTTAATTTTCGTTTTTATTCTAAACTAGAGTAAAATGTGCCATCGTGAGCGTTTCTCCATTTTTCCGAATCTGCAGGAGACACGCTTCTAAGTAAAAATGAGCAAAATTTGTGGAAAAATTTAAGTTTTTAAAAGTGATTTTTTTGAGGGTGAATTGAATTTTTTTCGCAGTTTAGAACGGACTAACTTTGCCGCCTCTTTTTGAGGCAAACTCTTTTGATCTTCGAATTTGGTATCAAGTGCTACAAGTAGACAAAAAATGAAAAAAATTTTAGAGGTCGAAGTGAGAAAGATTGCAACTGGCATGGGATGGCCCATATATATAGTATTTATGTATAACTACTTTATTCATGTTTATAAGTAAGTATTTGGCTGCGTAACTCATTGACCATTCCGTAAAACTGCTCGATATTTGAAGACAAGTTAACTTTCTCAGTGCAACATTTGCTAATGACAACGAACTTACGGAAGTTAAATATTGAAAGTTAGCAATACGAAAGGTACCCTTTATATGTTATGAAATTATCCAGGTTAGCGTGCAGTGCCCTCAAAATAGTTTTAAAATTAAGACACTTTATCTCTATGAAAAGTTTCATTGGACACTGCAAATGCCAGTAATGTTTTTTTATCACTTTTCAAGAAAACTCAGGACATTGTAAAGGACATTTTTGACTTAGTGGTGCTAGAAGTAAGCACGTCGTTGTTATCAGGATTTGAGTTCACAGGAATTTCAAATTTCCCGTAGAGTTGGCAATAAAGTCAATAGATTGCAGCCCGGAATCATTGAAAACTATATATACATTTCAGACACAAATGTTCAGTGAAGTTCATAAAGCACCATTATATTTAACCGACCCATCGACTTCCGGAAGTTCAACTTCGTTTTTTTTTTTCCTGGAAAGGTTTTTTCATCAAACTATATTAATAAGTCATACTTACAGGTTGCTTAAAATACAGCAGCAATCTGCCGCGTACAAGTGTTATTCAGTTCCAGTTGTTGTTTACAGGTATTATTATGGTTCAAATCTTTTTCTTTGAAATATCCATTTAGCCGAACCTTTCATAAAAAAAGTAATCAAGCTGTTGCTTTGAGCAGTAGTTTCCCAATAATAGAAACTATAGTAGCATTAATTATCCAAAAAAATAATAATAATATAAAAACTTAAATTTTTAATGGAGTAGAGTGGAAGTGTAGAAGGGGATATAAACATTTTACAGTTTAGGTGGTGTAGTTTGTACAAAAAAGAAATAAATGACTGCACAGCGTGAGAGGTTTGACAAGTATCGGTAAGCAGTAATTTTGCTACACCAGACAGCTGGAATTTACTGTGATACTGCTGTGGGAACGTAACGGGTTTGGTAAGCGATTAATTGGAATCCCCCATTTCAGCTGTATTCTACTGATATTTCCTGAAAAGTTTCTCTTTTTTTTGAAATCAAAGCAGAACAGTAGGAAGGTGTAGGGATGCGAATAATAACAGTTATTGTTTAAACACGAAGATTATTTAATTGTTGGTGTTTTTTTCAAGGCTTTTTATTTTTCACCGTGTTTTCACTGTTGTACTGCTTATTAACGGTAACAGTAAAAAATATCTCATGTGACCTTTTTTCAACCCTAGCTGTCTTTATTTGTGCATATTCTGTTAGAAAAAAAATGAGAATATGGTGGATAAATTTCTTACCTGTATTCAGTTTCAGATTGCTTACTTAGAAAATTTCTTAAAGAAATTTTATTCTTCTCGCATATTTTAAACTTTCTTTTGTTCTATAACTTTTCGTGTTTGTTACCTTGAAAATTACGAAAATATGTTTTTGCTGTATATTGCTTGTCATCACATACATTTTGAAAACTTCATGTCCTGCCAACTTGTTTCTGTGTTTGATATCGAGTTGTGGATTCTTGCCTTCTGTGATATCACTGTTCACTTTCCAGAAACTATCTGTATCTGGTAAATCTAGATTTTGCTTTTGATCATCACTAGCAGTATGAATGTACAATTTAGTAGTTTAGTAAACTGAGCACGACAGAAGGATATCTCAACGGAAAATAGCCTCAGGTTTCTAAATTCAAATGCGAAAGAGGTATAAAGGAGCACAGTACCAACTGTAGGAATTACAGGTGATTACTGAAAGTTTTTTTAAAAAAAAATGGATTTAAATGACTAGTAAAGAGGGCAAATTCTTGAGCCAGAACATCGATCTTTATATGTGTCAGAAGGAAATATTATTTAGTATTTTCAGTATTTTTACAGCAAAGGTTACTTTGATTTTTGCTTGGCTTTTTCTATATTTTTAATATTTTTATCGAGTTCTCTGTATTGCTTAATATTAGAGTCTTACTCTGTGTCACTTTAGTTTAAGGGGAAGGGAGTGTGCAACCGGTTTGTAAAAGTGAACTTTCAAAACCTCATTATCTAAGGATCTGCCCTTGTCCAACTCTTCTTGTTTTTTCTCGATTTTCCCTGTTCTCGTTGATCATTTCTAAATTTACAAAGTCTTCATGTACCGTTATCTCCATATTGGGTAGGAGCCTAAGAAATCATAATTTGAGCTTGTGCATTTCTCTTAACAAATTTTTTTTGTAAGCAGT